TTTTTGTAATCCCACATAGTCTGATAGTCTGTTTTGTTGAGGTAAATGGTAGATGGTGTTATCATTTAATGAAATGGGAAACCCTAAAGAAAGAGCAGATGAGAAGGAGGGGGTCAACTTTTCCTTTTTGTATTGGTTATTTTTGAGAGACATGTGATATAAACGTGGAAATGTCATGTATGCAGTTTGATATATGGATCAGGAACTCAGAGTTAGTTGCTGAGTAAACATGAGTCATGTCAGTAAATTAGCTGCCTGGGGAAAGAATGTGGAGTGGGACATGAGGGTGATCTAGTCCATTTCCTGAGGAATTACAGTGTTGCAAGGATGTTGAAAACAATAGTAAAAGAAATTAGAGTAAAATAAAATGAGAGTATGATATTACAGAAGCTAAAAACGTAAATAGGAGAGTGGTCACCTGTGACATGCTGCAGAGAAATCAAATAAAATAATGACTGATGGATCTTTTAGCAAAGTAGACATCATTACCGACTATTGAGCATTGGTGGTTTTCATTGGGCTTTTTTAAGAATGAAGATGCTAGTTGAGTAATTTACTTTTTAATAAATTGGTTTCCATTTTTTCCTTCACTCCTTTTCATGTAGGATTCTGAGATTAAACAAATGTATAGCGTTGTGTAATGACAACCACAATCAAGGCAAGGAATAGTTTCATAACACACACACACAGACACACACACAGACACACACATACTCTCTCTCTCTCTCTCTCTCTCTCTCTCTCTCTCTCTCTCTCTTCCCATGTGGTGCCTCTTTGTAGTCAACCTCGCCCCCTCCCTAACTCCTTGCAACCACTAGTTTCTTCTCCATTCCTTTTAGTCTTACGTTTTCCAGGATAACATATAAATGGAATCCTACAGAATGTAGCCTTTTGAATCTTGCCGCTTTTATTTACAGTAATGTGTTTGGGATTCATCCATGTTGTTGAATGTATCAATATACTATCATTTTTTATTACTGAGAGATATTTGTTTTCCTCTACTCCCAATTCCTTGAACCAGTTCTCCCCCTACAGTTTTGCTTTATTCAGAGTATCTTACAATATTTATACTTTAGGCTAAATCACACAATTTTTAGCCTTTTGGATTTGGATTTGGCTTCTTTCAGTTAGCAGAAATGCTTTTAAGATTCATCAATGTTGTTACAAGTATCAACAGTTTTCTCCTTTTAATTGATGAGTAAAAAGTAGTATTCTATTTACTCATCAGTTGAAGGCCATTTTGATTGTTTCTAATTTATGACAATGATAAATAAAGCTGCTATAAAAATGTAGGTACAGATTTGTGTTGTAATATGTTTCTACTGATCTCAGGTGAATGTTCTCTGTTTTCTGGTCTCCATTGTTTCTTATGAGAAATTTGAAGTCATCCAGTTTGATGTTCCCCTTTATGTAGTATGTGTTTTTTTCTCTCACTCCTTTCAATATTTTTTCCCCATTTCTCTTTTGGTTTAAAGTAGTTCAATTAAGACATGTCTTGGGGTGGTTTTTAAAAATTTTATTCTGTTTAGAGATTACTGAACTTTTTGAAACTTTAAATTCATGCTTTTTCAAATTTGGGAAATGTTCTGCCATCATTTATCTTGAAAATACAGCTTTAGTGAGATATAATTCACATAATTCACCCATTTAAAATATACAACCCAGTACTTATTATATTCACACATATGTACAACTGTCACCACAGTGACTTTTAAAGTTCCTTCATCACATCAAAAAGGAATATTGTACCCTTTAGCTATGACCTTCTTCTCCCTATACTGCAGCTCTAAGCAAGCATTAGCCTGCTTTCTGTCTCTATATATTTTGCTATTTTCATTATTTCATATGAATGAGATTACCTTTATTTCTTTAAGTGATTTTTTCCAGTACTACTCTCTGTTTTTTTATGGGATGTTAATGATATAGATTTTAGACTGTCTGACAGCGTTTCATATGTCTCTGAGGCTCTGTTTATTTTTCATGATTTTCACTCTCTCTTTCATATTGGATGATGTCTATTGATCTGTCTTAAAGTTTACTATTTCGTCAGCCACCTCCATTCTTTTAGTGAACCTATCCATTTTTAAAAATTTTCATATATTATGATTTTTAGTGCTAGAATTACTTACATTTTTAAATAATTTCTGTTTCTCTGTTGAGAACTTTTTATTATTTCATTCAGGTGTGTTTATTTTTATCCACAAAAGCATGATCATCTCATGCCAGTTAGAATGGTGATCATTAAAAAATCTGGAGACAACAGATGCTGGAGAGGATGTGGAGAGATAGGAACACTTTTACACTGTTGGTGGGAGTGTAAACTAGTTCAACCATTGTGGAAGACAGTATGGCAATTCCTCAAGGACCTCGAAATAGAAATTCCACTTGACCCAGCAATCCCATTACTGGGTATATACCCAAAGGATTATAAATCATTCTATTATAAAGACATATGCACACGTATGTTCATAGCAGCACTGTTAACAATAGCAAAGACCTGGCACCAACCCAAATGCCCATTGACGATAGACTGGACAAGGAAAATGTGGCACATATACACCACAGAAGACTATGCAGTCATAAAAAATGATGAGTTTGTGTCCTTTTTAGGGACATGGATGAATCTATAAACCATCATTCTCAGCAAACTGACACAAGAACAAAATCAAACACTGCATGTTCTCACTTTTAGGTGGGTGTTGAACAATGAGAACACATGGACACAAGGAGGGGAGCATCACACACTGGGGTTAGTTTGGGGGGAGCCAACGGAGGGACAGCGTGGGTAGTGGGTAGGTTGGGCAGGGATAACATGGGGAGAAATGCCAGATGTAGGTGATGGGGGGATGGAGGCAGCAAACCACATTGCCATGTGTGTATCTATTCAACAACCCTGCATGATCTGCACATGTACCCTAGAACCTAAAGTACAATTAAAAAAAAAAGCATAATTATAATAGCTGCTTTAAGATTCTTGTCAGACAGTTCACCATCCTGGAGTTGTTACTTGTTGATTTGTTTGTTTGTTTCAGCAGGCAATCTACCTAGTTGGTTGACTCTGAAGTTCTGTCTTGCCCTCTCTGGATAATTGTTCTAATGTTAATTTAGTTTTCAGAGAGTTTGGGTCAGTACTCTGCATGTGCCACTCATTGGATGTGCTAATTCAGTGGTTAGTATGAGATTTGAGCAATGATTGATACTGTAGTTCTGTACTGAAAGACTTTGTTGTGTTTTTTTAGTCCTTTCTGCACACATGCAGTTTGCTGTTGTTGCCAAGACTTGTGTTGGTTCATATACAGAATTAGGGGATCTGCTCTTTCCATTCTGTCCTCTCTGATTTCTTCCACAGTCTTCAATTCCCATGGGCCCTTTATTCTCTTCTGCCGGACAAAAATATGATCTTCTTTTAGAGTCTTAGCCTTTTATGCTTTTGCATAACTTTACACTATTGGAGCTGCCTTTGGGTGAAGTAAAGAAGAGAGTGGGAAAAAAAATTAAGAGGGATTACCCTCACATTTTTATTATAATAGAGACCTCTTTTCCTGCTTTCTCTGGCCAGACAGATGGATTTTCTCTTGATCAGGGCTTGCCTTGCAGATGGACTCAACATCAAAAAAGTGTGTATGGGAAATCTTGGATTCTTCTTATGTTTACAGGCTCAAAAGTACACCTTTTCCTGGGCCTTTGTACAGAAAATGGGATTTTTCTTGGAATTTTTGTTGATGTCTACTGTGTTATCTCATGATTCAGTCTCTTCTCTGGTCAAATTCAGGAGATAAAGGTGGAAAATAAACCTAGAGAATTCATCAGAGTTAATTTTCAAATTTTGATTTTCCCTATTTCACTTGTTATTGTTTCATTTTCAGAGTCCTTGGGTAGTTTCTTTTTCTATCCTACCTAGGGATTTTAGTTTATAATCGAGGAGTGATAGGCTTAATGAGTATATTTCATTTGACTGTCACAAGAAACTCTAATTTACTTTTTTTTTTTTCTGTTGACTTACAAATGGGCAGTGGTAAAAATCTTTTTATCTAGGTTGTTTTCCTGTTGCCTGATTTTCAAACATCTCAGATCAGTGGTTGGCAAACTGTAAAGGTTCACATAGCAAATATTTTAGCCTTTGCAGGCATAGGGTCTCTGTCACAACTGGTCAACTTGGCTGTTGTAGTGCAAAATCAGCCATAGATAAGATAGAGACAAATGAGTGTGACTGTGTTCTAGTAAAATTTTTACGTAGACAGGAGGTTAGATTTAGTTCATGGGTTATGGTTTGCAGACCGTTGATCTAATCCCTCTACTTTACTTTTTCTTGAATTAGTGGTTAAAGAGCGAGTAATATTACCTACTGAGCTCTGCATGTTCATTATTTTGTTTCCATGATCACTTACATCTTTCTCCTATAGTTTATTCTTTCTTCTGTATGGTATCTCATGCAGTTTAATTGAACTGATTAAAAGAGAAATTCACAACAGTGCAATTATATAAAACTATTCTTATTCTAATTTGCTTTGAATATACCCCCATGGTAGATTTCTGTGGTATTTTTTTCCTTTCATAAATACTTGGTTGGGGGCAATTTAATGAAAATACATAGGTTATATACTTAGTTGTCTGTTATTGCAGAGCTCTAAACAATAAATAATGAAGCATAAAGCTCTGAAAATCAAAGTTTTCAAGGACAATCTGGGAACCATGTTAATAGTGTTCCTTTTCGAAGTACTTCTATGTGTCCTTTGTCCTTTTGTTTTTCAGTAAGTGTGGATCTTGTTAAATTGTGGAAGGAAATACCTAGAGTTATATTTTGCTTAGTTATCACTCTTTTTTTAATACTCTTGAACTTCAATTTTTAAACAATGTTTTTCAGGTAAATGGTCTTAAAATGGTTGATGAGCCAATGGAAGAGGGAGAAGCAGATTCTTGTCATGTAAGTATTTATGTTAATTTATTAAGCCACATTTTTAGCATGTAAGGAAAAAGAATAAAGGGAAAGGAGAAAAGCTCCTATCAAAACAAATATATTCAGGTAAGTTGTTCATAAGCAAATGGAATTAGTAATAACTCAACTGCAGTTTAAAATACAGGACAGGTTTTCCTGACAGAAATACTTATGCATGTATTTAAAAAAAAATAAACAGCTTTATTGAGACATAATTTACTCGCTATTCAGTTGACCCCTTTTAAATGTAATGGATAAAGTTTTCACTTGACAGTGTATGAGTAACTGAATTATTATGCTTAAATATAGAATCCTTTGAGAAGATTATCTTCAACCTCAGGGTAGAAAGGATATCTGACTTGGAAATATTGAACTATATAAGCATAACTTGAAATCATTTAAAATCAATTTCCTGGCTTTTAGAAGGGATTATGTGTAAATTGTTTCAGAAGTTTCTAACTAGTTTTAAAGATTGCTTAGCCATTAGACCATTCTATGCAATGCCTATATACTAGAATCTTATTTTGCAAGATCTAGTTTTACAGGGAGTATTCTTAAGCTTTTTAGGAAGAGTCTGACTAAATCAACATCTCAATGTATGTTGTTATTTTATGGTTGTTATTTCTATAGATAGTTTCATAGAGTTATAGATTTTTTTAAGCTGGAAAGAACCTCAGAGATATTACATAATACTTCATTGTGTGGATTACTGAAACCTGGAGAGTTTGTGATTTATACTAGGTGATAAAACTAGTAGCAGAATCAAGACACAGGGCAGTGTGCTTCCTTTTTGGTCATATATATTGTGTAGACCCAAAGAAATAAGAGATAAGGAGGACATTATCCTTTTTCTATTTGGTTGCGGGTAAAATCAACATTGATGCCCTCTCCACCAAAATTTGTTCATACATGGAATTAGCTCAGGCAGAAACCACCAGTGGGATTTAAATTGGGTTTGTCCAAAACTCTCCTTTGAAATGCTCTATGTAACTATTTCTGCAGATAGTAACCATGTTACAACACTTTTCATTTTGATTGACAAGTTGAGAGATACAATGTTGTCTTCGTAGCTTTTGCAGTTTACTTAATATTAATAATGTATTTTAATTTTGAGTATAATTAAATGTAAACTATCAAGACCATTATCTAGAGATTTACCTACAGATCATATGGACTAATACAAATAGTAATATTAATGTTGCTGGTATTTAAAAGATAAGGGATATAACGAACTATTAAAGGCAGTGGAGAAGGCTGCTTGTTATACTTTAGCATTAATAAATTCATGAAGACATCATGCCTCACACCACAGGGAAACAGTGTGTGTGGTGCATAAACTGAAGGGCACATACACAGGGTGATTGGCAAATATTTACCTTCATAATTTTAATAGAAGGTAAGTCAGGAAGTTCAGTTTTTAGTGGAAAGGCAATAAAATATACAGTGCTAGTTGTTTATATGATCTGTCTTATGCAATCAACTTCAGTGGCTACAAGGTAGAGTCTGAAATTTTGGAGAGTAAAAGACCTAGAATCACTTCCAAGGATTTGATTTAGTTTGTGGCCTGAGTTATCTGAACTTGAAACCATGTACTTTGGGTGTGTGATGGTTAAAGCACACTCAATTTGTGTCAATAAAACTATATGAGTGATTAAAAACACCATATATATTTATCCCTTAAAAATTTTAAATATGTAGCTAGGATTTTTTTCTTCATCATTGATGTGTATTTTTATGTGTTTGGCTTTTTCTTTTAACTATTTTAAAATAGTGTAGGATTGTAGAAACTGCTCTATGATGGTAAGTATTAGGTAATGGGCCACTGGTAAACTATATCTGATATCATATTTCACCACCTAGTCTCCTACTTCTTTCAACAATGTTAAGGTTAGAAAAAGTATGTTATGATTTGTCTCCTTTAGTAGTTGGTTGATGTGAGTTAATTTTTTGTTTGTTGTCAAAATAAGCATAACTGTCTTATATTTGGTAGTTTATGATCCATTTGTATTTATTTTTAAAACTGTACCCAATATCTGTTTTTCCTGAAATAAAATACATATTTTTAATGCTATCAATATCTTAAAAATTTCAAAGAGGTTTTGGTTAGCAATTAGATTCGTTGTTGATTATATTAGTGTAAGCTCAGCAACATGTTTAATCTCTAAAGTGATGTATATTTTTATTATGCAGAGATATAAATGTCATAGTTAACGGAAAATGTATATTTTGAAAAACAAAACTGATATTCTGATATTTTCAGCCCTGAATTTCTTATTTTATAAAGATTCTTCACATATATCTGATAAGAATTCTTTCAAAAATACTTTTTTATAAGTGTGTTTTACTTAGACTCATGTGGAACCACAGTTAGGCACTATTTCAAGCTGAGAATGCCTTCTTGCTGGATGGTGGATTTTTTTCTTCCTCTATTTGTCTTCCCATTCTAATGCACATTTAGCCTTACTATGCTTCAGTATTTTTCTCTTGCAATGCTGATGTTTACTTCTAATTTCTATTCAATCAATCACTTAAAAAATTGGAACCCTTGTCCTACAAATAAGCAAAACTCTCAGATGAATAATTATTGTTCAACTAAAAAATGTTGATCATCCACTATTAAGTGGAGTTTTGCCACACCATCAGGTATGGAAAGATAAGTAGTACAGAGGGTCTTTGACTCAGGATGGTTCCACTTATGAGTTTCAACTTTATAGTGGTGCAAAAGTGATACTCAGTATGATCCTCAACTTATTATAGCGTTATGTTTGGATAAACTCACTGTAAGTTGAAAGTGCATTTTCAACTTATAATAGGTTTATTGGGACATAACACTGTCGTAAGTCCAGGAGCATCTGTACAAATAAGTTTAGTAACTTCAATTTTTATGGATGTTTTGTGTTTTTCAAAGTTCTCAGTTGATTCTTGTAACTGATATCTGAAATAAATAGAGTAGCTATTATTGCCAATTTGTAGATGAGGGAACTAAGGAGCTGACCCTCGTAAGTAGAATAAACCAAACCAAGTGGGCACTAGTTTGCCACCATTCTTTGGTTTTCAGTCATCAATGCAAACTTTTATGTACCTACGTATTCTTCAGATACCTTCCATTGTGTACATCATTTTGTTATGCTTAGTTCACCCTTATGGCATTTTGACATTTATATTGGTGTAATTTACCCTTAGCTTTCTTTCAGAGTATGCTAATGTTTGACATGGTTTTCAGTGACCCCAGATTATTCACTGAATGAGAAGGGTATATCAAGCTGCTCTTCCAGGTCTTTGCATATACGTTTCAACAGATCCAAAACTAAATGCCTCTTGAATTTTTAGAGTGATCTTTTCACCAAACTGGCCTGTATACCTGTAAATAAAGCAGATAAGTTTGAATAGATGGATGTTTTATTGTTAAATAAAAACTAAAAAGTTTGGACTTTAAAAATCCTTTTTATTTTGTTTTGATTTGTTTTCTGGAGGTTAGTTCCACAGTCATATGAAAACTGTTGTAATTGAGTTATAGTATATTGCTATTAGGTTGTCATCAGCTTTTTCTCTTTTCAATTAACAGGTGATTTCATCTTCCTAAGCAAATCAGTTTTCAAATGAATGGAGCAATAGTAGCTTTGACAGTTCATTTTGTACTTTAGCAGTGTGTTTTCCCAGTGTTACAGCACTGTTGACCCTCTGGATTAAAAAGATGATCACAGATTATAGAGGTCAGAGCATACTATTTTGGTTGTGGTTGAGCCTTCATACTTTTTCTGTATATCAGTGATTATGGTTGCAAACAAATAATAAAACCTAACTCATAGTGATCCTGGCCTCAGATTCAGATTTGTTATTTAATGTAGAAAGACTAGGGGTCCATATTTGGAGGTTATTAAACCTTCATTTCACAGTAGGAACTTTCTTTTCAAAGATCAACTAAGATTATGTACCATGTATAGCTTTGCTAGGGATACCCTAACCAAATAACCACAGATGGATGGCTTAAACAGCAGAAATGAGATTTCCCTATGATTCTACATTCTGTAAGATTGAGATCAAGGTGTTGGCAGCATTGGTTTTTCTGAAGCCTCTCTCCTTAGCTTATACATGAGTCTTCCCCCTGTGCCTTTACGTGGTCATTCCTCTGTGGGAGTAGGTATTCTGATTTCCCCCTCTTAAAAAGATGTCAGTCATAATGGATTAGGATCCACCCATATGACCTCATTTTACCTTAATTAATTATTTAAGGGCCCTATCCATAAATACAGTCATGTTCTGATGTTCTGAAAGTTAGGATTTTAGCATATTAACTTTGAGGGGACATAATTTGGCCCACAGCACATTTGTATCTTTTTGTTTCTTTAAAGGATGTGTTGCTTCTGACAAAGTTCTCTATCCTCAAATTCACAGTTTATTTCTGTATCCCCACTGTGCAGCATAGTGTCTGACAATAGGATATGCGCTTAATGAATGTTAATTTTCTGAATGAATAATTAATAAGAGTGTATATATGGGAAGATAAGGTGATATAGCACAACTTTGTCATACCAGGATAGGGAGATTTTTCAAGGATGATTTACTCTAAGGAAAAAAGAAATAGATCACATATAAGTACATTACAACCTTATTTCAAGCTAGATTGTTAGTACTATCAAGCTTTTGGAATGGTGCAGAAGCTGAAGAAAGTGAGGTGGATGGAAGAAAGAGGGTTTCAGATGACAAGAAGTGACATTATAATAGTAAAAATCAATAAGCATAGCCTTGGGACGGCTGAGAAATTTTAGGCAATAGACAAGAATGGGGTGGGGAGCAGATGGAATAACACAGAATAAGTATTGGAATTGGTGACACAGGAGGGTGTCAGATACTTTAAGAGTAAAAAAGAGCTAGTGGCATAGAAATGATAAAACACCTTTGTGGTAAGTAGCTATATATAAACACATGCACACACATGTGTATATATGTATGTACATGCATGTCAGTACATACGTCTATGAATTTGTGTGTATATTATATTTGTTTATATAACTATAAATCTTAGACATACCTAGTGTTTTTCAATCCTGGCCATGTGTCAGAATCAACTGGTGAGGCTTAAAAAGCATGCTAACATCCTCCTGTAGTTCTACTGAACCACAATCTCTGAGGGTGGGACCCAAATAAGTGTAGTAAATGAATATTTCTTCTACAGCTGATTCTTATGGGCAACCAGGTAATTACGAACTGTCTACTTAAAGGCACACAGTCATAATTTGGTAATATGTAGTAGTTGTTTGCCTAGGAATACATGGCTTTATTTATAAAGGCAAATGGCCAAGCAGTAAGTTAATATTCTGGGGTTATTGTGTCCTTTATTTATGTTGAATATAACACATACTCAGCACAGTGTAATAAAAATACTGACCATGGATAATATGGAAAATTTTATATTCTTCACAGTGTATGGGAAGATATGCTTATTTTATTTAGAAATATTGTTATTACAGATTTAGTTATAGTCAAAGCTGACACAATTTCATTAGCCAGAATGAATCTCGTTTCCTTATTTTCTTTATATATTTTTTAAAAAGAAATTGTGGGTATATACATATTTTTGTTTTGTAGATGGTATTTAAGAATAATTTTGAGATTTCTTACTGTTTAATTTTACCTTTAAAATCTTTTTCTATTGTATATATTTAAGGTGTATAATGTGATGATTTCATATACATTGCAAAATGATTGTTACAGTTAAGCAAGTTAATATCCATCATCTCACAGTTGCCCTATTTTTTGGTGGTAAGCACTACCTTCCTTTTAAAAAATATATTTTTTTCCTGTTTCTTTTATAAAATTGAGCAGACTTCTTTGTCTTTCTGCCCCCATGAAATCAAAAAAGTATTGTGCTAAGCATTAGGAATAAAGAGATGAATGTGGTATAATACCTGCAATTAAGGAGCCCACAGTCCAGTGGGAAAGAAAGATAATAAGTTGTTAGGACACAGTGTAACATTTCGTGTTGATTGTCTCCTGGAAAAGTGATCTTTCTCATCTAGTTGCATTTTTGTATTGGGAGCTTTTTAAGGTACTGCTGCTGAAAATGGAAAGACATTGCATTTTTAGAGGATGGGTGTGTGTGGATTATTAATAAATGGTAAACGGGCATTGGACAAACATTTTCATTTGGAAAACTTGCTTAGGTTTGGTGAACTAACTAGTGTACAATTGTTTCCTAACTCTTAACACTTCTAAAAAAAAAAGTGATGCCATTATGATTCATGCTTATAGTCATAATCTAAACATAAGCAGGGAACTGAAGTGCCTTCTTGAACATGGAAATATTATATTGTGTTCAATATAGAATCACAAACATTGAGGAGACCTTAGTGACCCATCTAACAAAACCCCTTTGTCATGTGAGAAAACTGAATGAGAGTGGTTTATGATTTAGCCAAGGTATCTTAGCTTATGCACACCATAGCTAGGCACAAAACATCTTGTCTATTGACTCTTCCTCTATTGTTCTTTGCACTAGAGAAAACTTCCAAAAATCTTCTATGTTTTGAAAACCATATTGCACTCTTAATGTGTGGTGAAAACTCAGTTTTCTATAATAAGAATATACATTGATATAAATAAATACTGCAAATGTATATACACATATATTATACTTTAATATAGTCCCCAAATGTTAGCTACAAAGCATATATATTTGCGTTTCAAAAGGTTGTTGAGTTTTTTTTTTTAAAAAGGGCCCCTTTCAAATAGAAAAATTCACTTTTATAGCAGGTTTGATTTTAATTTAATTTTTTTATTTTCAAAAAAAACATTTATAAATTACCATCACTATTTAAAAGGGTCTAGTGAAATACTATTTTGATGTATAAGAAATATCTGACATATTTTCAGAATCAGTTATTCTTCATTTCTGGTTGATTTACTGGTGGTTCCTAACACAGATAAATCTCTGCCTAGGTACCCTTGTTGAGATAGTGAATGTCTGACTACCTTTATGGCTTGGAAGTTATTTTAGCTGCCATGAAGTCTAATTCATTTGGGACCATATGCTTATTCACTTTGGCCACAGTCACCATTGACTAATCATTTAATTGAAGGGTGAATAATTGAGAACAGTCTTACCATCCAGACCAAAGTTAGTATGGTATAATGGAGTGGTACCAAGCATTATGATTAAGTAGTCATGTAAACTTAAATTCCGTGAGTCTTAATTTTCTTCTTTATATAGTCAGAGGTTTGGATAAGATATCCCTTCCAACTCTGTTATTTTGTGATATGTAATATGTCTGACTTTTTTTTTTTTCCGTCCTAGCTACTGTACTTCTCTAGAGACTAGAATTACAGCTCACTTGAATGTAGTTATCACAGCTGAGTGGAGTCCTGCATCAAGGGGAAGAACCACTCATTGGCTGTCTTCTTTTCTGCTTCACCCAGGTGGCATGAAATCTGGCATATAATTTATATATAAAATTTTAGTACAGGGCCATATCCTGGAAATATTTGTTTGGGCTCTGCAGATTTTGTTGGTCTATGCCAGTTTCTTTTTCATTACTGTGGTTAGTTGACCATTTAAACATTTAAAATACTATAGTGAAATACTGTTTAAAAGAGCTCTTGAAGTCATGTTATTTAGTCATACCCCACAATTTACAAGGTTTTATTTTGACTTTTCCTGCTTCAACCTCATTAGTTACACTCCAGTGAAGGGTCTTGAGACTGTTGTTAACAATTTTATTTTATTGCTTCCAAGTTGGAAGGGAAGGCTGAAGCATAGATTTCATTTTACATTTCATTTACATGAAATTATATAGTAGGGAAGGTGGTGGTGCATCTGTATGTGCTGTATGTGTTAGAAAACAGGGAAATAAGGATACTGGGAGCCCATAAAACTCTCTATTAGATTGAGAGAGTTGGGTATATTATTTCTATGATGACTTATGATTTTAAATGGAACTAATCATAAGATGTTGAAAGTGGATTCAAGTATTGTTTGGATTTCTTTTTTCAGGATGAAGGAGTTGTTAAAGAAATCCCTATTACTCATCATGTTAAAGAAGGATATGAGAAAGCAGATCCTGCACAGTTTGAGTTGCTCAAGGTTCTTGGTCAGGGGTCATTTGGAAAGGTAATAAATACTTTTTTCCCTCATTTGTTTGTCTTCTAATCATTTAGCAAAATAAGTGAAAACATGCATAGAAATCTGATGATT